CTTTCAGCTGTTGGTCGAAAATTCTCCTCCATGAGAATTTTATGCATACATAAGGAAGGGCTGATCCCTTTAATATCTGCTATGGTCCACCCAATTGCTTGCCTGTTATCTCTAAGCGCCCTAAGCAGTTTTTCCTCCTCCACTTCACTGACCATGTTTGAAATTATCACTGGAAGTGTATTAGACTCCCCCCAAATATGCATTTCTTAGGTATGGGGGTAGCTGCTTAAGTTCCAACTTTGGTGGCTTCAGAATAGATGGCTGTGATTTCTCAGGCCCTGTCCCAAGCTCTTCAAAGTATCGATTCCGCGTGTAAGGTGGGTTGGAATCCAAAAATCTTACACACATTTCTATGTCCACAGAATTAGATTTTGTGGATTTAGAATGTGCAATGCAGGCCTCCAATGCATCTGATGGATTTTGCAGTGTAAACGACTTTTCAATTATTTTATCGATCATGTCAACCCTGAAACAGCTGTCAGTCTCTATTGGTAGTTTCATATCCTTGAAGATATTGAATGAAACCTGTTCTTCTCCCAATCTCAGTATCAACTGCCCATTCTGAACGTCGATCAAAGCTCTGCTTGTGGCCAAGAATGGTCTGCCCAATATGAAAGGAATATCTTTATCTTCTTCCATATCCAGAATCAGAAAATCTACTGGGAATATGAACTTCTCCACTTTAACCAATACGTCTTCAATTATTCCTTGTGGATGTGTCAATGATCTGTGAGCTAGCTGTAAGGTCACCGTGGTCGCTTTAGCTTCTCCCAATCCCAATTTCCTAAAAACAGACAATAGCATTAAGTTAATACTTGCACCAAGATCACATAAAACTTTATCAAAATAAACTTCACCAATGGTACAAGGGACAGTGAAACTCCCTGAATCTTTCAATTTTGGTGGGAGCTTTCTCTGAATCCTGGCACTGCACTTCTCTGTTTCCATAATTGTCTCTTGATCTCCTAGCTTCCTTTTTGTTTGATAGGATATCTTTCAAGAATTTTGCATAGCTAGGCATCTGAACCAGTGCTTCAGCGAATGGGATGTTGATATGGAGCTTCTTGAAGACTTCGAGAAACTTCTTGTATTGTTGTTCCATCTTTTGCTTCTTCAACCTCTGTGGAAACAGTATGGGTGGCTCATATGGGTTCATAGTTACAGTCTCTTTATCCCTTGAGTTTCCTTTATTTGCTCTCGGTGTTAGCTCTTTTGTCTCCTCTTCTTGCTCCAAAATCTCTTCTACTTCAGAAGACATCTCTTCTCTATTTGCCATGAGATTATTCACTTATCTCTCAGGTAATTCCACTCCACTTCTCGTTGTTATAGCCTTTGCATGCTCTTTCGGATTGACTTCTGTGTTATTTGGCAGGCTGCCTGGTGCTCTACCTATTAATGCAACTGCCATCTGTCCCATCTAAGTTTCCAAATTCTTAATGGCTGCATTCTGGTCCTGAAGAGTGGCTTCTGTCTTCTTCATGAATTGGTTGTTCGCCTCCATATATCCCGCATAGAAATATTGGACCTGAAATCCCTTGCTAATCCTGTGGTGTGGACGCTTCCTTAGTAGATTTTTGAATCTGTTCTAAACCTCATCGAAATTCTCAGATTCACCTTGCCTAAAGATAGATATGTCGTGCTTTAGCTTTGCTATCTTAGCTGGTGGGAAGAACTAAATTTGCCAAACATTTCTTCCAATTGAGGCTTCTTCTCTTGCTGTTGATATTGCCCCTGTGGCCTATTCTGATTTTGGATACTCCAAGAAAAGTTGGGGTGCTTTTTCCAGCTTGGGTTGAAGGTCTCTCCATACGTGTTATTCTGCTAGCGTTGTCCCCATTGAGCAAAATCTGCTTGCTCTTTTCCTTGTGCCAAAATTGGACATTCTGCTGTCACACGCTCAGCTCTACATTCCTCACAATTTGCCTTCTTTGTCTGCGCTGCGTTAGCTGACTGGGTAATGTTTTCCACCTTGTGAAATAAGGAATCAATCT